TTCAAATCTCGTGTATTGCGTTCTAATATGTTTGTAATACGCCTATAGTTTATATTACATGCATATCTCTCAACAACGTTCCATATCGTTATTGGAAGACTACCGACTCAAACATATGAAAATGTCGCTGTCATCATAGATGGTAAAAAAAACAAATTCAACTTCTTAGAAAACTAAAAGCCAAATTGCTTTGATACTTGGTTATGTTGGTACCTTGCGTGGACTTCTGTCAGATTTGTTAATTTCATGATGATATCTTCAATTCTCTTTTTTTTTTTTTTTTTTTGGTTAATATTTTTTTTCATTTTTGGTAAAGACTTTCGAATAAATATTTTCAAATTCTACTTGAACACTACCAACACGTTTACTTTGAAATTTGTGGTGCACATTATTTTTGTGAACAATTTGTTACGTTAAGTTAAGTTGACATTTTCTCAACAGCCAGAACCAGACTACTTTTTGTTATGGGTTTACGTTTTGTCTTGTGAGTGTGTGTTGCTCGACATGGCTACCACAATGATCTTGTGGGACAACGGAGCTATTTCGACCGACATATCGCTTGTTTTTTTTCTCGCACGTTTTGGCCATTCTGTGCACGTTTTAATAGAATGATAACAAATGTCAATAGAATAGGTAAGGTATTAAAGATGAATTAAGTACTGGCAAATCAAATTTTGCTAGTAATATCATATGCCTGCTGTTTAGTTCACTCAGCTCGGGTGAAGTAGTGTTTTCTTCAATTTACAGGCGAGTTATATTGTACCTGTGGATGCATGAGACTATGAATACCATTGCAGTGATTGTATGTAGTGGTTATGACAATACATAGTGTACGAGTTGATATGTTGTTGATTAAAAGTAAAACAAACACGAACCGGTTAAAGCGGGGGAGTCGTCAACTGCGAATGCGTCAGATGGCCATAGCGTGTCATTGTTTACAAACAAGCATCTACCCATGAGCCTTTGCGTTTTTAGCGTGTGTTGTTATCGTCGCCTGGGACTCAATTCGCGCGCGTGCGCAGGTGCCGACGACCCTCCCGTTTTAAAAGATACGCTGCTGAGCGTGAGTAATTATCTGCTGTCAATCATTGCCATGTCATATTAAATTCTGAAACAGGATGCGTTATCTGATCTCACAAACATTTACATAGTTATCGTTCTCAATACGTGTCTTCTTATCACATAGCGCATTCAACAATGACAATAAAAAGTGTATTCGCGTGTATTTAAAATGTTTATTTTGTTCATGTTGACTGATATGAAACACGCACGTATTCGCCTAAATATTCACACCTTGCATATTATTCGCATACAGGCTTCGGTGGTGCGGAAATTTATCCACGTATCACCAATAATTATGTCTATAATTTAAATTACATACATCATATCAATCAACAATGTTTCATATTATGATTAGAAGACTACCGACTCAAACATACGAAATTTTATTTTAATACTTATGAAAAATGCGCGTTTTCGCCGCCAGTTAGCTCAAGAGCTAAATTAATAAAATAATCAAATCCTGTATAGGTACTAGTATGTCTTTAAAGCAGGGTTTTGGTTTCATTTAGTGTATTTGGGGGGGGGACTTGGCAGCCCTCAAAACCTAATATCACATGTACGAACGTGAGTAATTCATTGAGTTTTGTTTAGTCGTTGGCTGTTCTCTCTCTGAACACCAAACATAATATTTGCTGATGTACTTAACAAATCAACCCAGCAATAAACACAGAGGAAGGTTTATGTATTAAGGTAGGATTTAGATGGTCCAGGAGTGAATATACATGTACATTATTTGTTTACATAAAATTTGAACTCGTGCTGTTGGACGACCACCGTCCTTTAATATTTGGCTACACTGTCCATATGGTTTGTGATACATTGGCTTTGAACAATACTAATTTGTATATTCTCATTGATAGTGAATTGGTAATTAAGGGGATCGGCATAAGACATTTCTCTGAACCAGATTTTCAAGTCTGAAGTTTAAGTTTGGTTACTTCTCCTTAGAAACCTCAGGCACAGTCCCTCTATCCCCGGTCTGGAAACGACTAGCGTTCTTTTGTCTCGAACCGCGGTGCGGGTAAACAAACCGTAGAGGGAGTGTGCCTCAGGCATCACAATTTCCTTTGGAGACTGTAACTTTATTTTATTATATCAACTAGTTGTTTTGTGATGTTTTGTATGTAGCTCGTTTTTTTTTTTTTTTTTTTTTTCCATTACAGTAAGAATACGGCTTGTTGTAATACCAGTCCTAAAATATACCTCCGTCCCCCTGATGGTGGATGGGGCTGGTGTGTAATGTTCAGTAGTCTGGTGATACAATTATTGACGTTCGGACCAATCTCAACAGCCGGTATTATCATCGTTTCACTGCAATCAACTATGGTCGACACTTCTGCTGTGGATATTGTCTGGGTCACCTCTATTTTTTATGCATTAACGTATATAATAAGTAAGTAATGAGTAAGTATGTCTGACAGAGACGGCGGGACGAAATTGTGACCTTACTAGGGGGTCCGGGGCATGTTTCCCCTTAACAATTTTGAAATCTGGATCCTCTGAAACGCTATTTCCTGCATTTTGAGGGGCAAATATTGCTGACACAAAGGCTTGACACGCCCCAACATTGATTTTCGAGGCGATCCCTTATTCAAAGAAGAATGGAAAGATAGCTCCAACGAATCATTTGTTTTTTCGCCGCCAACAAGAAAATATCGCATTATATCACTTATATCTATGTTCGGTTTCTCGCTCATCGCCACAGAGATAACCTTGTATCATACATGCAACAGTTTATATAAAGCGTTGAAACTAATAGGTCAAAAAGGCTCCTATTGATACTAACGTATTTATTGAAATTTCTATAATTTGCGACCTAGCAGTTGATTACTATTTGGCATGAGGCTTGTGGGACATTCTGTAAGTTAGATTGAAATGCATGAAGACGTACAAAGATTTACTTGGGAAATTATTGGACCATCACTAGCACATACACACCTAAGGCAAACGTGTTCAATAGCCTGTAACCACTCATTGACGCATGCAGTTGTGTTGTTTCAATGTAACATAACTTTTTTGTTCTGACCAGTGTATTAAAACATTGACAATGATGCCGGTCTTTATTGGGAATACAAAGATCACAGGTACTTATGCACAATGCGTACCTTGGTCCTGCATCTAGTGAATCAAATTGTCTTGGACAGCCCATCAAGGGATCAAATTCCAAAATGTTAATGTCAACAAGAGTGACTTGCTGAGCAATGCTATATTTGTGTACTGACTCTTTCACAAATGTGTCAACATTGTTCTCTGCAGTGGTCTTAATTGGCCGGAAGTCTGTGGAAACAGCTCCCAGACTTGGTCGTCCCTCTCCTGCCATTGATGAGACATCTGTTCATCAAGTTGAGGCAGCCATTTTGGAATATAGACGCATTACTGTTCGCCAAATACACAAGAGGTCACGATTAGTATAGGGTCTATGGAAACTATCATTCATGACCATTTGCATATGTATAAGGTGTCTGCCAGATGGATTCCCAGGTTGCTCACACCTTTCCAGAAGCAAGAACGCATCGAGTGGTCGTGGATGAATTTGGAGATGTGCCAAGAAGATGAGTCAAATTTTCCAAAAGACTGATTACACAGGATGAAAGTTGGGTCAATCATTATGATCCAGAGACCAAAGCCTAGTCAATGCAGTGGAAGCACTCACCACCTTCAAGGAAGGCAAGCCCTAAGCTGGCAAGGTCATGCTCACAGTCTTCTGGGACCAGGACGGAGTAGTGATGACAGATTTCCTGGCAAAAAGTACCACAATTACAGGAGCCTATTACGCTTCACTTTTGGTGAAATTAAGAGAAGCTATCAAAATCAAGAGGTGGGGCAAGATCAGCAAAAGTATCCTCCTCCTGCAGGACAACTCCGGTCCACAACTCGCATGTCGCCAGATCAGAAGCACGGGCATGTGGCTATGAAATTCTCCCCCAT